AAAATATTTTTTTATTTAAATTTAAAATTTTTATTTTTTTAAAAAAATATATATATATATATAAATACATATTTTATCATTGTAATTTTATATGAAATTAATATATACATAATATATAGACAAATAAAATACATTTCAATACAAATAATTAACTTTCCTTTCAATTTTGGGGGAATTAATTTTAGTCCTTCAAGATCGGCAACAATGTTTCTTTTTTTTTTTTTTTGGGGGTCTTGGTGAGTGTGACCTTCACGCACTTAATTCGGGCGTAGAGCTGTCACTCTTACGTGCGAAACGAGGTTGGTGTTTTTTTATTTGACTATTCTTGTTTTTTAGTAATTATTTGGAAGTTGTTTGTTGAAATTACTAGAATGTACCTCCAATGGGAATAAATTACTTTAGCTTGTCCCCTCTTCAATGATTATACGTATTTGGAGGTGTCTTTGATGTCAAAACTAGCCTATGACCAGGTAGATACCGCCAAATTTTATAAAAGGACCACAAAATTGATATAATTTTTTATTTACTTTAATTTAATGATATAAATTTTTTTTTATCATCCAACAATATTAATTTCTTTATACCACTTCTAACACCAAGTAATTTAGTCAACATAATCTACGATGTTAAATAATTTTATCAATTTATATATATCTCTTTCTATTATCACGTTCTTATTTATTTATTTTTTTACTCTAATTTTAAATTATGTAATTAAAAAAAATAAATTATTATTTAAAATATAAGAATTGTAAGCTTAATATTTAATATTTAATATTATAAAATATTTTTAGACACAGGGTTATTGCTAATAAATCTATATACCTCAGCATGTTGATGATTATGTTTCTCCAACTCTAAATATACTAAAGTTTTTTCCGTCGTAATGTCACATTATGTTAACCCATTCCTCTCATTTTCTGGCATGGGCTGGGGGTTACACTGAAGAAATGTCAATAGTCCATTTGTCAAGCTATTACTGTTTTTTCAGAGTGATGTCAGAACATAATAATTTTGAGTAATGATATATAAACTTAAAATGTGGAATTAAAAAATATATTTTTAATAAATAAAAATAAAGAAGGGACCCCATTATGTTGGTTCACAGTCCATTAAGAAAAGTGAACAGGAGCTTAAATTTGATGGGAAAATTATATATGATATAAATGCACAAAGTTCTCGAAAATGTGCGATTTGAGAGGATTATACGTACGTAATATTATCTTGTGCGTTAAAAGATTGTTTCTGTAACATAAATATATTACGCTAAAATCAACTAAGATTACAATTGAATTAAAATCCGCCTTTCAATGATAAAATCGTCGAGTCCAATTAAAGGTAATCTGCAACGCAGAGAAAGAAAGCCCATCAACATCACTAGGGAGACTAATAAATGTTTACACTTCACATCCTTTTAATGATTCAGGTAGAGGGTGGCTTTTCCGGCTTTTGCTTTAATAATTTACAAAAGTTTCTTTTATTTAGTATTGCACCTTTTATTTTGGGTCTACTTTGAGCTTATCTAAAACCGTGGGCTATGCTTTTTGGACATGGAAAGATCAATTCAAACGTAGTTCACGTAGTAAGGAGCACGAATAATAAATTTAGATATTTTAAATTTAAATTTTAATAATTTTTTATAATCAGATCATGCAAGATTTATCTTTCACAAATATCTTATTTTTGGCGCATATGATCTGTCTTTGACTAAATCAAAAAAAAAAATTAGTTAAGATGTCCGTAAACTGACACAAACACTACCGAACGTTAAATTTTATGCAACTCTTAGGATCACTTAAATTCACATATACCACATCTTGTTTTGTGCAACTCTTAGGATCTCAAAACAATTTGTTTGACAATGGATTGTTTACATTCATAATTTACATACGAGACCCAAAACCACACTATTTTGCATTCCTCCGATTGTAAATAAATAAATACAAGGCATAACAGATGAGGACTTCATCAGTGATGAACTAACCCGAAGGAAAAACACTAACGTAAGAACAAACAGAGTGATAAAGTACATGGATATTTGAAAAACATCCACAGTTTTTTTTTTCTTTTCACTAGTCTTAAGGAATGAATTCCTTATAATTATGACAGTCACGTCATAAATTTTATGTTAAGTTATGTGATTTTTCAAACTTTGAGGGGGAGGGAACACATTCTTTCTCCGTCCCCTCTCTTGTATCTTCTTCTCCTTAACCCAACTTTTGATGATTGAAAGTCGTAAAATATAAAAAAAAAAAAAAAACAAAAACAAAGTGTGGCATGAAAGTAATTAAGACTGCAAGTTGAATGCTTTTATGAATCTTCTTCTCCCTCTGCATTATGAATCGCCATTAATGCAAGCATGCCTAAATGAGCCCACAAAGAACATTTTCTTCCATTCATCTTTCTGATAGCTAAATCGTTTTGGGTATGTAAGTCCTAAATTATTGGTGGTTCGAGCTCTTATTTTCAAAATCCTCTCTTAATGGCATTCTTATCATTCTACAACTACTTGAGATGGGCACAAGTCTCCTGAAAATTACTCCAATTTCATTCCTCTAAGCTTAGACCTTATTGGTGACCTTTATAATTGATTAGACGTTCATAATTGCAAGATGGTTTTATCTTGAAGTTGTCTTTGAAGGTCTGTTGCATCTACTTGGCCATCATTTTGTCCAAGCAATTTTTACCTATGACCTACCAAGCATTGGCCTTGAGCCGAAAGGATAAATTCTGTTCTCAGAGAGCGTATTATTTTTTTCTTCCAATTAACTTGAAAGAAGGTTCTTTTCCACCGAAACTATAGAATCCACGCTTCGCCTAGCGGTGGAAGCAGACACCCAACCATCAACTCACCTTTTTGAATAAAGTTGAGCAAACCAAAGCAACTCACTGTTTGCTTCTCAAGTGAAGGATAAGATCTTAGAGCAACTCCAAGGGGTGGCATATGGGGGTGGCAACCCCATATGCCACCCCAAAATGAAAAAATTTATTTTTATTTATTTTCAATTAAGCAAATAAACGATCCTTGCAAACCTATTCATTTATTTTCAATTAACTTTGACTGAGATGTTTTAGCATGGTTTAATTGCATAGATTTGATTATAAGTTTATCATCTTGTTATGTCCTTGATATCATATTCACGTCCATCTATCGACACCTTCACATGTGAGTAAGGGGTCGCGCGTCTTAAAAAAATGTAAACTTATTCTAATTCGGTATAATAGCATTTGCCAAGCTTTTATTTGAGTGTAGATGTGTCTTCCCTCATTAGTAGAGTTATATGGTTTAAGAAAAGACTAGAGACAACTAGTATCTCACACTAATATTACAAGTTTGGTCTGTGTTACATTCTTTTTTTTTTTTCAAGCTGCGTTTGTGTTGCATTCAAACAATGCATAGTGCACCTTTTTCTTGGTTCAAATATAGCATAAGTTTGATGATCTAGATCTATTCTGATAATTTTTATTTTAATTTTCTCAATGGTACTATCATCCACTAGGTATCAATGAGAGATTCTCTTATATACAGTAGGACACGGTAAAATTTATGATAAATGATTTATTATTTAAAAAAATTGAAAAAAAAATAAAAGAGATGATCTATATCCCAAAGTTTGTCTTTTAAGTACTCGTTGTCTTTGTCTAGAGTTGGTTTGCGTTGGGTAAAGTTTGATGCTTCTATTCACGTTCAACCCAACATAAGTTATAATTTGTCAACTCAAGCCCCCAACTATACCTCAAAAGCTTCGACCCAAGTTTTTTTGGAGGAATTGGGTTCACAAGTGTCTAGCATGGATTCAGCCCACAGAAAAGAGGATGTATTGATGTTAAACGATCCGAGCTTTACGATTTTGAACCTGAAAAATAGTTCAAGTTTGACTTGTTTAAAGTTCAAGTCAAACCCAAGTAACTCGACTATTTTACATATAAACAAGTCAAATTTTACGAGTTTGAATTTAAACAACCCTAAAAAATTATTCAAACTCAGCTCATTTAAAATACGAGTCGAGTTTAAGCTGAGTCCAAATACCTCGTCTCGATTAATACCCCTACCCAAAGCCCACATGGACTTACTCCCAAGAAAAAAAACAAGGTACAAAAACTGGACTTTGAACTGCCATAATGTATAATTTCCAGGTGCGTTTCTAAAATACAGATGGAAGACATAGTCAAAGGGATCTTCTCTTCAACTGGCAAATTCTCTGCTTCAGCTAGGGAACATATTAGAGAAGCTGTTCCTAGGGTTCTCCAGTACAAACTTGTGTTGTTTAGTCAATCTTCTCTGGTTAGCTGTTAAGACCGAGATTCAGCATCAACAAACGTGGATATCCAAACATTTGCTGAACTTTTCAGAATTGATTGCATCCTTTGTAGAAGGGTGTCTGAATCACAGCCATTTGTTATGTGATTGTGCACATTGTCCACTCAATATGGAAGTAAGTCCTGCTGTAGAGTGGTCATCACCGGCAACCAATGGCTTGGAATGACTTATTTGCTAGGCAGCTCGGCAATGGAAACGGAAACATACATTGGCTGTGATACTCAAACTTTTCAGTTACTGTATATACTAAATTTGGAAGGAGAGAAGCAACAGATTACTGAATATCAAAATTCAGAGATCACAACACTCTTGTTAAACTCATTAAGCAAACAATTAGAGATTCATTGGTTTGATTGAAATTAAGGAGATAAGCTCAGAATCGTCTACTAGTTCAAAGATGAATTGTACCTAGCAACTGTCTAATGTGAACAGAAGAGGCCAACTAGGCTGCTAAGGTGAGGGATAACTACTTACTAATGGAACCTAAGCTAACAGCTCTTGGTGCGTTGCAATTCATCCTGTTTGTTTTGCGTATATGTAGAAAATAACTTTTCTGATGAATATGTCTGAGGTACTCTCAGCAGAGCACCACTGACAGATTCATCGTCAACTCACAATAGAAGTGTTTGCTTTGTTGTTACTTAAACCAGGCGAATCTCCTTCCTTTTGTACATCAAGGCTCAATTTCAATGGAAATCATTTTACTTTCCCTAAAAAACAGAACTATCATAATGTGCAACAAGGCTATACAATCACAGCACATTCCAAGGCACTCTTTTTGCACACGTTTTTGGTCAAGGGCTCAATACTAAATACACGACATCAGACACACCTAGTCTGGGACAGAAAACAATGATAAGAAATTAAAGACCATCAATAATACTAACCTTCTGGACTTCAATCTGAACTTGTTCCCAAACTATAACCAGGAACTTTGGCAAGCCTTCTTTCCTTCATAATCCCTCTTATCCTCTCAACCTCTTTCCACAAACCTTTGCTGGCATATATATTGGAAAGAACAACATAAACACCATCATTCCAGGGTTCCAATTCTTGTAAGTGCATAGCCACCCACTCCCCCATCTTCACATTTTCATATTTCTCAGAGGCACCCATCAAACAACCCCAAATCACCACATTTGCTTTCATTGGCATCTCCTCCACCATCCCTCTAGCCTCTTCAAGCAACCCTGCTCGGCCAAGCAAATCTGCCATGCACCCATAATGCTGCAACTTGGGCACAATCCCGTACACATTCTTCATCATGTTGAAAAAATATTTCCCCTCATTCACAGTTCCACCATGCACGCACGCACTCAACACCCCAACAAAAGTCACCTCATTAGGCCTCACGTCTGCTTCTCTCATGCAACGGAAGCATTCAAGCGCATCATGTGCTTGCCCATGCACCGCATAGCCTACAATCATTGATGTCCAAGAAGATACATTTCGTTCTTCCATCCTCGAAAACACCTTATAAGCCAAGTCCATTCGACCACATTTACCATACATATCTATTAGCGAATTCAACATCAAAACATCCGGCTTCTCTACACTTTTAGCTTGAAAAACACACTTATGCAACTGAAGAGCTAGATACAAATCCCCTAAGCAACCACAAGCCGATGTAACAGTAACCATAGTCACATCATCCGGCTCCAACCCACTTTTCTTCAACTCCATGAACATTGCTATCGCCTGCTTGGCACGCCCTCCTTGTGACAAACCTCCGATAAGCGCATTCCAGGAACCCAATTTTCTCTCACAATTTTGTTCAAACACTTTACGCGCATTGTCAAACTCTCCTGCTTTAGAATACATGCTGATAAAACCACTCTCACAAAACATATTAGAGTCGAGACCCAACTTTTTCGCAACAGAATGAAACTGACGAGCCATGGCAACATCGAAATTGATAGAAAAAGCCTTCAAAATAACGGGAAGAGTGTAAGTATCTGGCATGACACCGGCTCTTGACATGGCAATATATAAATGTTGTGCCTTGGTGGGAAACTCCAGTCTTGTGTATGACCTCATGATATTGTTCCAATGAAATGGGGCAGGATTGAGTTCTAGAAAGTACGTTCTGATTAGGTGGGCGTAGAGTTGATTCAGTTGTTGAATGTTGGTACAGTTTGAGACTTCCATGGCTATGATTTTGGCCCGGTCTGCGGTGGCATTTTGGGGTTCTGGGCTGGTTGGAGAGAGAGCACTACTGAGAGGATCGAATGGCGTGGTGGTTGAAGCTAGATTGCGATGGAGATGGTGAGAAATGGTTAGGTGCTTGCGTACTACTTGAATTCTGGGAAGCCTTAGTAGCCGAGGATGAAAAGTGGTCATACGTTTGCATTGTAAGAAACGGAGTAGCACTGGGTATTAATAATAATAATTTTGGAATAATTACAGGGAGTCCCCTCAAGTATGTGGAGGTATCATTCAACTCCATGAACTACTTACTCCTTTCAAAATAGAGATAATTTGAAAAAGTAATTGGACACCGTTAAGAGAACATGGATATAATGTTGAGACCGTGTCAAGTTCACTTTGCCACTTGTCAATTTGTTATTGAATAGTGATATTATGTGATAATAAAATAAATACTCAATATTATATGTTGTAATTATCTAATAAAAAAATTAAAAAATATAAAAGTGGCCCATATTGTCTTACATAGAGTAATGGAGATTGTTACATATTACATGGATGGGTGGTGACTTAATTTTGTGACACTTACATTGCTTATTTGTTAATTTATTAATAGACGATTATACCACGTGACATTACTGACGTGGTATAACCGTTGAATCGAATATTAATTTTCTCATGATAAGGGTGATGTAGTATCACTATTACACCCAAAATTTACTCTAAACTTTGAATACTCTATTAAATGACCTCTTATCCTAATTAAATTATTACAATTTTTGTTTTGTTAAGGACAAGCATTGGTGCATGGTCTGCCCTAGAAAGCCAAGCTCATGGATTGGCCCATGACAAGTCTTGAATGTTTACTTAGAGGTTGTGGACAACATTATCCCAAACACACACATAAATGTATACATTTTCTCCCTAACCAATAACCTAGAAGATGACTACACATGTACACCTAGACACTCTCTATCTCTCACAAAGTAAGAGATTTCACTCTCGATAAAATATTACTCTATTTGTTCTTAAATATCTGTCGTTTAAAATTTTTGCACAGGGATTAAGAAAGCTATTAAATAGCTCTAATATGAGTAAAAAATAATTACACAAGACTAAAATATTCTTATTCAATATGTATTGAAAAGACAAGGAATATGAAAGACACTTAGTCTATATTTAATCTATTAAACACTTATTGAAAAACAGAGATAAGAATAAATTTAGAAGAAAAAATATTTATTATACTTTGGTTTCATAAAACGACAGATATTATGAAACGAAAAAAATTATTTAAAATAACAGATATTTAAGAATAGAAAAAATAACATATTTTGAATCAATGCCCAATGGATGGTAGTGAAATGACACTATCTCATATTTGAAAGATCAACAAATCGGATTTTATGAAGGAGTGTTAAGTGACACAGGCCCATAGCTGAGGGGGGCTAACTGTGATTTACACAAATTTTTGTCGTTTCTACTACAAACATTCCGCTAAATAACAATTATATATAATGTTAGAGTAATCCTACATTAATTAAAAAAACATATTTAAAAATTAAACTTAATAATTAAAATTATTAATTTCACTTTAAATTTTAATATTTATTGAAATTTCTATTTGATAATTGGCATTACCGAATCTAATTTTTAAATTATCGAAAAATACTCGTTACGGGTGCGTCCGATTACCTTGTTTCCTTCGTTTCCTGCAAAAATCATACTCTCTCTCTCTCTCCTGAAACTTCCATCTTCTTCTAACCCAATCATAGCTAGGGTTTCATTACCTATTGAATCTGAGCTTCTAATTTTATATGCATCAATGGAGTACCAAACCCAACCTTCCAATCACGACGACTCTTCAGGCAATCCAATGGCGGATGACGATTCATGCGAACCAAATCCAACAGTCCTTGATCTCACCAGCTATCAACTCCATGATTTGGACTCAGTCGACTTTCCGCTGAGTCTAACCGAGTTAGACTTTACGGCGAATCGATTATCGAAATTAGATCCCCGGATTGGCCACCTCTCCAACCTCAAGAAGCTCTCTCTCCGCCAAAACCTCTTTGATGATGCAGGCTTGGAGCCGATTTCCAAGTGGGAAGCCATTTCGGGTCTTGAGGTATACGATTTTAGCTCTAAATGATTGCATTTGACATTGTTGGCCTTTGGTTGTTTGGGATTGCTAGTTTTTTCCTTCTTGTTTGGTTGCTAAGAAAAACGGAGGCGAGGAACAGAATGTTGTTGGACTTAAAATTCCATGAATTCGAGCACACTCCTGGAAAGTATTCGATTTGGCTGCTATTCGTTGGAGTTTGGTTGTTTGGGGTTGTGATATTCTTGTTCCTTCGTTTAATGGATGGGAAGATTTAGAAGAAAAGTTTGTTTTTTTAATATATTGTTGAAGCCTACAACGATTTGATCTAGTCTACGGCTTCGAAGTATTTCGTATCTCTGAATTGCTACAAAATTAGATATAAATGTTTTGTGGTTTGGTGTTTGATGAAAAAATTGAGTCTGAACTCCAATGAGTCCAAACAACAGTATGTGGCTTGGTCTTGACTTTTTTGTTCTTAAGCACATACGCAGTTTGCTGTAACACAATCAATGTAGAACCCAAGACTAATCGCTCATAATATTATCCTTTAAATAAGACCGAATTTTTTCAATCATATCATAGACAATATCTGCTGATTTCTGCTTAGTTGGTATACTTACTGTCTTCCAAATTATATGAAGGATTCACCAGGGAACTAGACAATCAGCCTTAAGGTTGTTTTCTGTGTGTTCTGCACTTGTGCATCTATGTGTGTTTTGTGCATGCATGCTTGAGGCCGTAGTTTTAGTTGCAAAATTTCATGGTAGTTGCATCCAAACAAGTGAGATCAAATTTTGCATTCATAATTTGGAGGAGGGTTGTTGTTGGAAGGGAAAAAAGGTTGTGCATTTTAAGCTTTTTAATTCCTCTTCCATTCATTCTAATTACTGTTGAGATAATGCTATTGCTGTTCTTTTTGCAGGAGTTAGTACTCAGAGATAATCAGTTGAAGAAAATTCCTGTTGTTAGCATTTTCAAAAGACTTTTGGTATTTGATGTTTCTTACAATGAGATTTTATCAATGAATGGATTATCCAAGGTTGCCAACACACTAAAAGAACTCTATGTGTCTAAAAATGAAGTTACTAAGATGGAGGAGATTGATCATTTTCATGAACTGCAAATTCTTGAACTTGGCTCCAACAGATTACGGGTAAGGATTGTGGTGTCTTGAAGAGGGGGTTAGATGCAAAATTAACAAGTGTTTTTAATATCTAACAGGTGCTTACATGTGTCGTGAACTTAAGCAAAGATAAATTGATTATTGCAATTGCAACACTCAACATGAATAGAAGTTCCCAGTGTGGGTGAATTGCATAATTTGTCTATGAATGTATGCTTGATCTTGAAGTAATTAGTTTGCCAATTCAGGTAATGGAGAATTTGCAGAATTTGACATTCTTACAAGAGCTATGGCTTGGCCAGAATCGCATTCGATCTGTTAACCTATGTGGATTGAAATTCATCAAGAAAATTAGCCTACAGAGCAATCGTTTAACCACCATGACGGGATTTGAGGTATCTAATTGTTAAACATTCTGATATTTGGAAATGAGCCCACTTTTATTTGAATCACTTATAATTGGAATTATGGATAACTAGGTTTTTTTTTTTATTTTTTTTGCTAACCTTCAGGAATGTGTGGCTCTAGAAGAACTATACTTGAGCCATAACGGTATTGTGACAATGGAAGGCCTATCAACCCTGGTGAACCTTCATGTCTTGGATGTGGCATCCAATAAGCTCACCGCAATAAATGATATTGAAAACCTGACCCAGTAGGTGTATCTACCTACTAACGTGGCCGCATAAATCATGTGTTTCTGTTTTAGATTCTAAATGATTTCACTTTTACTCTGGGTCTTTTGCTACAGATTAGAAGATCTATGGCTTAATGACAACCAAATTACATCACTAGAAGGTATAGCAGAGGCAGTTGCTGGTTCCAAAGCGAAACTGACCACCATCTACCTTGAGCACAATCCATGTGTATGTTTATCTACCAACCTAAGTTTTATTAATAAGAGCCTCCATATTTGATATTTCCTTTGCCTACATGCTACGCTGCAGCTTCTTGCTTTCATTGATATTTCGTAAGGACATCTGGTTTTGACTATAGCTAGAGAGCATGAGGGAATCCACAAGTTCTTTGGGATTTTCCCTTTGAGCTTGGCTGGATTGGAACTATGAGCCTTTAGAGTTCAACTTTTAGTTGCGCAATTTAGGGAATTGCCAGTGCCAGTATTGTGAGTTATTGCTGGTTGCAGTTGAATGAGGTGACAGTTGCAACATTCATGGTGGTGGAGTCATGAGAATGAGCGGAGCTTGAACATTACTAGTTCGGTTCGTCTAGGCTTGTGAACAAATTGAGCTTGTATATATAATTTGTTTGCAAGCTTATTCAGTTAATGTTGTTGTCTCATTACCAACAAAGATCCCTCATTGAAGATGAGGAAAAAAGTGGACCTTGGAGTAAATATATAACTGTTGAGTCAATATCCTCTTTAACTGCAATCCCACATTGACAGAATATTGAGGAAGAGAAGGAAGGACCCTTTATTAACAGGTCTTTGGCTGCCTAACTTCTGCTCTCGGGCGCATGAGATGGCCCTGACTCAGCTTGCCTTATTGAGGTGAGCCAAGCTGAGTGCGACTTCAGTTAAGATTTCAACGAGCCGATTACAATCCTGTGGTCCCAGACTTGTTACGAGCTTGAACTGATCTTGAGCATTCTTGAAAAACAGATGAACCGAGCCTGAACACATCAATAGCGGCTCTGTTTGGCTCATTTGCACCTCTTAGTTGGAAATAGAATGGTTTCTTCAATTGGGACCGAGATATGCCCACTGATCGTGGCTGGATTGGAACTATGAGCCTTTAAGGTTCAATGTTCAGTATGCCAATTTATAGAATTGCCAGTGGCAGTATTGTGAGGTGTTGGTGGTGGCAGAGTTGAATCAGTTGACAGTTGCAAGATTCATGGTGTTGGAGTCATGATGATAACACACATATAGCATCAGGCTGTTGAGTCTCTGGAAATTCAGAATTTCAATACTAATTTTGTGAACTTCTGCTAGTAGGATAAAAGAGTCAAGTATTTAAAGCTTTTATTGTTGTTAAAGTAATGGAGGGTGGCCAAGTAGTGACGAGGATTGGGATCAGCACATATTCCTATATGCCTTTTGATGGTAATTGTTTGAATTGCCCTACTTGTGTTTAGATAATTTGCGACTCTCATCTGCCCAATTAATAAATTCTCTGCATGCCTTGCATTTTTGTTATGGTTGCTTATGTTAGTGTGGTAACTTGGTTGATGTTTTGTTGGTCTTTAGGAAGACTATTATATGACGACAAGATAATGGTTTCATCTGCAAATGTCCTGCATAATCATTATGTTTAGGAAAGCCATCGTTACTGTCAAATGTTGACATAAAAATGGATGGCTGTGTATGTAGTTTCCAAATCCTTGAGAAGCAATGGATTTGAAACTTTGTTGACAGTTGATATGTAGTTATCTAATTATGCATGTACTCTAATGCCACTGTCCTCTACTATTTGGTTCTCTTCCAAGATTTAAGTGACGATAAAGTATCATATTCCTGATCACCCGAGCCAAATAAGGAGATTGCATCATTTTCTAATTGCATGTGTTTGTATTGACTCTATGTGATAAGCTGTTATGTGAGTGTATTTATTTTTTTGCTTTTTATGATTAATTTAAATTGACTGCTGTTTCTGCAACATACTGCAGGCAAATTCTCCGAATTATGCCACCACTTTGAGACAAATCTTCCCAAATATTCAGCAAGTTGATTCCCAAGTATTTGGCTAGAAAGTTGTCTCTGGGTTTTACTCTTTTTAAACGAAAAGACAGCTGATTTTTCTTCATTTTTGGGTGAGTAGATGCTGGGTTTGTTCCTGTTTATTTAACTGGATCTAAAGAATCCATACTAATCAAGTATCTCAATGGATACATTCCAATGCAAGAGGGTCTGAATTACTGCTAATTGGAGGTACGGAAAGGATTTATGATCAAGTTACGCTTATAGCAGTGTTCATTCTGTTCATAATATGGAGCTCTCTGTGAATTAGAAGTAGAATTTGAATTATCTATGAACAGGAATTTATTCAAGCCGTGCCTAGCTTACTCAAGAAGTGCTCGTTTTGGTTCATTCACATGGAATTCAAAAATCTGATCAAATTTGATTAATTTTGCAATTTAAACAAGTTGATGGGACCGCTGATCCTATAACCGTAGTTGATTTGGTACACAGTTATTTGGGGTCGGTTATCAAACTTAACAATCTGAAAGGAAAAATACATACTTTCCCACCTGCAAACTCAGCCAGCACAAATTGAGAAACATAGGCATTGGTAAATCAAGGGGTCAAACCATGACCTCAACTGACATAACTTTTTAACGCCCGCTTTCAAAGGCAATACTAGTTCTACCAGATCTCGCATGGATGACCCAGCAATTGCTTTCATAGTTACTCCACTATCCACCTTATCCATGGCTTTCTTACCCTTCTTAACCTCTGTCAAGAACTGGTACAGACCAAATGGATCAGCTTCTTCGGCCTCTCTCTCGAATTCCACAGGTCTATCCCTCGGGCCAGCCTTATCAGAATCAGAGGTGCCCGAGAATGCCTTGATCAGGTTTGAAGTGATCTGTCTTCATAATCTTCTCCAGCTGCTCATCAGCACCTCCATACATATCATTGTCAACATCTTTCTTAGGCCTGTACAGAGTAGAAAGGGTAGGCTGGGCAGTAAACAGGCCCTTGTCGTAGTATTGATCATCAGTGGCAAACCCGGAATCCATTCCCTTCTATTGGTTGAACACTCTGGTCATACATAACCTCTCCTCCTCTTCCTACTCCAGTAGACGCCATCCCAAGAGTAACTTTCTCACTAATGTCACGATCTCTATCTCTGGTAAGGTTACTCTTCTTCCCCATTGCAGCATCCTTGTCCTCCAATCTTCTTTCCCTTTCCCTCTCCCGGCGCGTTCGTCATGAATTTTCTCCCTTAGCATAGCTACCGACAAAAAGATCTCCTCATAATTGATTCCCTTTTTCTGAGTAAACCTTTTCACAACAAGTCTTGCCTTAAAGCTTTCCACCTTCCTCTCTTTCCTCCTTGGTTCTCCCTAGTGGAGTCCTTCTCTTTTACACGCTCAAATTCCCCACCCATGTCATGAGCATCCATGACCCCCTTCTCAGAAGACACTGGAACAGCAGCGGGTGGTGCAGCACCAGTTCCCTCAGACCTTGCCTTTCCAGCCAATCCACGCAACCCCATCTCTTTTCTTTCCTTCTCTATCATTCATCATCATCTCCTTCTGAACCTTTGAGCGCATTGCGAAGGCCTCTCTAGCCTTCTATTCTGCAACATACAATGCCTCCGAAAGCTTTGCAAAATTATCATTAATCTGAACATCCTGAAACCTCCTACTGTCTGCCGCCAAACGCTTCTTAAGTGGTATCGTATACCCATTTTGGGTTCTTCCAGTTCGGAATACAAGTGGGGATTTTCCAATCTTGCTGGTCTTCACCGTCACAGGTTGAGCTGGAGAGTGCATAATTGGCACCGGTCCTTCACCGTCACAGGTAAACCAACATCATTCTTTTTCTCAATTTTTATGAAATTCAATTATGTATTGTGACATCTTTATCCAATAAGAAGAACTATAACATCTTTCTTTCAAAAAAAAGAATGATGTTGGTCTAAAAGCCGTTTCTTGCTGGCTGCTGGCTGTTTTGTGGCTATTTTTGGATGCTGGCTGGTTTGTCCCTGTCTTGTGGATGCAGTTGTTTTGCGGATGTTGCTGGTCATTGGTTTGTTTTATTGCTCTGTTTCATTTGGAAGTGTAGTTTTCTGTTTTTCTTTGGTTTTGGGGATGGAGAATCTTGTATCTAACCGTCTACAATATCAAATATCCCTTTGGATTCACCTATGTATTTGAACACCTTTGGGAGTTGTTACCCCTTTTGCTTTGTGCCTTATTTAATGGGTTGATGGATGTGTTGAGATAAAGAATTTAGATGTGTTTTTAGCAAAAAATTAATATAAAGCTAAAATCTACTACAGAAATTAAAGTGATTATCAAACATATTTTTTATATTAGTTTTTAGATATTCTAAAATAAAAATTGTAATCAAGTATATTTTCTGTTTCACATGAAAAAAAATAAAGATTGATTCTATTTTTTCTTTTTTTGAAAACATAAAAATAAAACGATACTGTATGTAATCGTGGGCTGTGTCATATCCCTGGTCATTGGGTTACGATAGTGAGTTGAGTTATTGTTAAATATGAATAACACAAATATTATGAATTAATGTATTACCATTTTAATTTCTTTCATATAATGTGTAACACCCTAACTGATTTGGGTGCAAATGACCGGTCTTAGTGGCACCTTGCACCAAGGTATGCCATAAGTTGGAATTAAGGTGACACGGCTAAGTGGTTCGACAAATTGGGGCGAATCAAGGCAACATGAGACCACCCGGTTGAGCATGGCAGCACGTGGTGGGCTCAATTAAAGCAATGTGGGTGCATAGCTTCGGATTGCATGGCATGTGTTGAACCCAACATGCACATTGGTTCGTGAAGTAAGGCTGACTGCTGAATGTGGACACATGACTGACACATGGCTGCTCAATGCATGTGACCAGGAGGATGTGAGCAGTTGCAGATGCTGAGACACAGTCAAGGCAGTTGCTGAGGTAGTTTTGGGCGTCCCTAGTCTGAATCCAGTCTAGATGCATGCTGATGAAGGACAGTTCCACATCAGTTACTGAAAGGGGTGAAACTGTTTGCCAGGTGTCGCATAGAGACCAAGCTTGCTAGTCAAGTATGCTATAGAATAGTAAAAACGTGTGTAACTACCCCTTGACAGATGAGGGTGTCATATGTCTTACTACTGTATAAATAGGGGTGCTTGGGCATTCTAATGGGGAGAGTGCTTTGGCTTTGAGATTTCATTGTAAATTGTTGAGTTCAATATATAAGATTTGGGAGTTTTGTCCCAGTAAATTCGTGTGTTCCTTCTGTGTGAGTTTTTGTCCCTTATTCTTGAGTTTGTGTGTGGCTGGTTGCAATAGCAACGCCTTCACAGGTAGCCTCGAAAGAAAAACGAAAGTTACCCCGTGACATAATGGAATAGAGGTTATTTTGAAACTAAATAAATTTTTATTGACATGAATACAATATGAATTCAAATAATGCAACTAAAAAAAAATATGCTTTGAAATAACATGGTACAACATGAATAAAATACGAACTGAGATTTTATTGTGCAATGCAGGTTATGCTTTATGGATTAACAAAATAACGACATTTTTCTTTTTGATGATGTGTTTAATCGTCTCAACTTATGAAATATATTTTTTTTGTCAAGCATTACTATTGGAGATAGAGTCGACAAGATTTGAACCCATAATCTTAAAAGTCTAACGATACAGACCATGACTATTATTAGGTCAATCACTAAGCTTGTACCGAATCAAAAGTTAATTAATTGATACTTTATTTATTTATTTTGGGTAGGAGGGAGGGGAGGAGAGGGTGGACTTGAACCCTTGACTTTAACAAGGTAAAATTTTTATAAAGTAAGGAGTATCATTAGACCAAAGGCCCGTTGACAATTGATACTTTATTTATTGGACAAATTTCACTTTGATCTTTGAAAGATTTCAAAATTTTCACTTTGCACATTTAAATATTAAATTTCTTACATTGTATCTTCATTATATCAAAAGCGTTGCAATGTTACTTTTCTGTTAGTTTTTCGTTAGGGTCAATGAGTTGACTTTTGACGAAAAAAATATTGAAAACTAACAGAAGGGTTACATTGTAACATTTTTAATACATTAAAGATGCAACGTGAGAAATTTAATTTTTGCAGATATAAATAAAAAATAAAAAAATTTTAGGGTACAAAATGAAAAAAAATCCTTATTTATTTGTATTTGTATATAATTAAAATCATGTGAAGTGCACACGTGAGATTCAACAAAAGACTGATGGCTTTCCTGGGATCTTCTTCCACCATTTTTGGCATATTATTGGTCATGATGTTTTTCTTATGGTTTGCAATTTTTTTTTGAGGGGGGTCAGCTGCATGTGGGGTTGAATCATACAAATATTGTCTTGATTCCGAAAGAGGAGGCACCTGAAGTTATCTCACAGTTCAGACCTATTGCCTTATGTAACTTTGCATATAAGGTGATTTCCAAGGTTTTGGCAAACAGAATGAGATCTATGCTGGGATCAATTATTACTCCAAATCAATCGGCCTTCATTCCTAATCGTCAAATCCAAGATAGTATCTTCATTGCCAATGAAGTCTTTCATCATCTTAAAGGTAAGATGAGAGGCAATATCCCGGAGTTGGCGATTAAATTGGATATTAGTAAGGTTTGTGATCGTGTTGAATGAGAATTTTTGGAGGCCACAATGATTTCCCTGGGCTTTGATCGTCGCTGGGTGACTCTTATTATAAAATGCGTATCCTCTGTGTCTTACCATGTGTTGCTAAATGGGATCTGTTTGTGTGAGGTTAAGCCCCAAAGAGGAATTCGACAAGGCGACCCATTATCTCCCTCCCTATTCCTATTTGTGGCTGATGTTCTTTCATCTTTGATCCATAAAGGTGTGGAAGATAAACGCCTAATGGACATAAAAGTCAAGAGGAGAAGCCCTGTTATTTCCCATCTCTTTTTTGTTGATGATTCTTTATTTTTCATTAAAGCTAAGGAAGTTTATATCCGTGAATTTTCAAGAATTCTTCAATTATACTGCTCAGCCTTGGGGCAATGTGCCAACCTCTCCAAATCTGGTATTCTCTTTTCAGCGAACTCTTCTGATGATCAGAGGTCTTACTTTTTTTCCCTTTTTGGCTTGCAACCCCTTCCTCACCAGGCTAGGTATTTGGGAATCCCAACAATGTGGGGTCGTTCTAAAAGTGAGGTCTTTGGCTATCTTTTGGAGAGAATTGTTAAGAAACTTCAGGGTTGGATGAGATTTTGTTTGTCACAGGCCGGTAAGGAGGTTCTTATCAAAGCAGTGATTCAAGTCATACCTAATTACGCCATGTCTATTGTGGCTTTCCCCAAAAGTTTCTGTGATAAATTAAATAGTCATGTTCGTTATTTCTGATGGAAGGAGATTGATGAGAAAAATGGTACTTGTTGGAAAAAGTGGAAAAAAATGACTAAATCTAAGACCACTGAGGGTGTGGGCTTCAAGGACTTCAATCTTTTGAATAAAGCCCTGCTAGCTAAGCATTGCTGGAGGCTGATTTATCAACCAGATTCCTTTTGGGCGAGATTTGTTAAAGCAATGTATTTTTCACATGATGGCTTGATGCATGTGAAACGTGGTTTTAGACCCTCCTAGGGATGGAATAGTCTCCTTCATGGAATATCTCTTCTTGACAAGGGACTTATGTGGCAAATAGGTGATGGGCGTGAAGTCAACTTTTGGACTTCTCCTTCTTTGTATGTTCAATCCCCTAAACCTCCCAATTCCCTATTTGTTAAAGTGGATGATTTCATTAAGATGCATCCCACTAGTTGGGATTTTGACTCTTTATCCTCCTCTGTTTCTAGGGAAGATTTCAAGGCTATACGTGTGATTCCTCTGTCAAGGGGAGAGGCTTCCGACAGACGAATTTGGTGGCCTGATCGCAAAGGGATGTACATTGTTAAATCTGGTTATCGTTTGGGTTTATCGTCTGAAAGAAACCACTTGGAGTGTTGTTCTTCTGCCTCTCCTCCTCCCAAATTTTAACAGCATATCTGGAACATGAGGGCTCTTCCAAACGTCAAACAGCTTTGGTGGAGGGCTTGCCACAACATTTTGGCTATACAGGAGAATCTTTTTCGCAGGAAGTGTGCCCCTTCACCTTGTTGCCCCATATGCCCCATATGTAAGTCGCCTAATGAATCTATCAAACATATTTTATTTGAGTGCGATTGGACTAAATGAGTTTGGTTTGGCATGAACTTGACTTTTGGGTGGGAGGTGAGCTCTTTTTTAGTTGTAATGCAGTGTTCTTCCTAGATTATGGATCAGATTAAGGATGCACAAGGGAGATTAGAGGTCTTGGGGAAGGTTGCCACTGTGGGTTGGGTTATTTGGAAGGCTAGAAATCAAAGGGTGTTTTGTAATGAGACGTTAATCCCTCTACAGTTGTTTTGCGTGCCCAATCCTTGTGGACTGAACAAGCCAGAATTTTTTCTGATCCTCCTCCCAGATATGGTGTTTCTTCGTCTACTATGACTCAACCTTCTTCCTTTACAAATGATATTATGATTTGTTGTGATGACTCTTTTTATTCTTCTACTGCACGAACTGCATGCAAGGTGGTGGTGTGCAAGATGGAAGGTTCCTTGCTACCTGGAACTGCCTTCTCTTTTCCTATTGGGTCTCCTTTGGTTGCAGAAGCAAAAGCTGTTCGCCAATCTTGCCTTTTGGCTGATGCTCTTTTGCTTTCAAATTACACTATTATGAATGACTGTCTTAGCCTTATTAAATTAAGTTCTATTGAATATGTTCCCCCATGGGAAATTAATGTAATTATGAATGATATTAGATGCTTAGCTAGGGTTCATAACCTTAGTTTTTTTACACAAGTCTAGAACCTGTAATAAGATTGCTCATTGGGTGACAGTTGTTAAACTAACCAGTTCTTTTCTTTTGGATTGATTAGGCTCCCCCCACCTGAGCTTAAGGCTTCTATTTTGTTTGATTGTAACTTAAATTTTCCTACTTAATATATTAGGGGCCTTGCCTTGTTATGTTAAAAAAAAAACGGTTACTTATCGAATTAAAGAGGTGACGGGTGAAAAATATGTAAATTCATACACGACATATTTAATAAACAGGTGAAAAATCTCAATACGAACACAACCTATTTAATTAGTAGATAATATGACATAACTCGTTTAATCTGTTTAATTTTAATTTATTATTTTATTTTTTGTGGCCATCAATAAATTAAAAAAAAATTCTATGATTGTAACTAAAAATAATTTAGGGTTAATTACAAAATGCTCCCTTGAACTTTGGGTCTTATTTCAATTAGATCCCTCTGGTTTAAAATTGAACAATTTGCCCCCTTCAAATTTCAAAATTAACTAATTGACTGATTAATTAGACAAAAACTTTAAAATTATTTTTATACCCTCAGCCTTTATTCATATCCATTTTCTTTAATTTTTCTTTACCCAATTGAGCCAAAATTTCCAATGCCACCAGCTACAAACCACCATAACCACCGCAGCCACCACCAAACCACCCAGCCATAACCACCAACCATCGCCGCTATAACCAGCCCATAAACCACTGTAGCTCCCACCCAGTCATAACCACCGCAACCATAATCAACCAACCCAAAAATCATCATAGCCACCACCCTAATCACTCAACCACAAACCACCCTATCCATCACCTAACCAACCAGTCAACGACCTCCGTAGCCACCAACGCAGCCACAAAACAATATATCCACCACCCAACCACCTAACGACCCAAACATAAACCACCGTAGCCACCACTCAACCATCCAGCCACAAACCATCGGATCCATAGTGAAGAGGGAAAGTTTCAGTGGGGTTGAGTTTTCAGTTTCTGTGGAGTCTGATTAAAGAGTTGAGTTGCAGGAAAGGTAAGAGTGGGTTTCGGTTCAGTGGATGAGGAGGGATTATGGAGTTGAGGGAAAGGTGGGGTGGCTAGTGGGTTTCGGTTTCAATTGAGGAGGAGGGATTTGGGTTTCAGTTCAGTGGAGGGAGAGGGATTAGGAAGTTGTGGGAAGGGTGATGGTGAGTTTGAGTTTCAATGGAAGGAGGGGGAGGGATTTTGGTTTTTCAAGTGAATTGGATTTTCAACAGACTTGGATTTTTTTTTTTTGATTTTGAATTTTACACGAAGACAAGGGTAGTTGTAGAGTTTTGATTAATTTAAATCATTTTTAAAAGAGATTAACTAACGGTAGGAGTTAATTAAAAATTATTCAAACATTAAGGAGGCAAATTGTTTAATTTTAAATCAGAGAGATCTAATTGAAATAAGACTCAAAATTCAAGGGGACATTTTGTAATTAACCCAATAATTTATATATGTTTTTTGTGGTTGTCACTAAAAAAAATCTGCATAATTTTTTAAAAATAATTATTAACTTATTATTATATTAATTTTATTTAAACGGGTAATAAATGAGTTGACAGGACTCACTTGACCAATATTCATTTATTAAACATATCTTATGATCAACTTATTTATCACTGAAATTCAATAAGATCTCACTTAAATTTACTTAATTTGTGTCGATTCGTATCCTTAATTCGTGCTGTGTCGAATTTGAGAAGTAACGTAGCAGGGTATGGCCAATGGGTGGCGTTGTGGCCCGACAAACATGTTCATTGGGTATAAAGGCCCGCTAGAATTTGTCCGTCGGTAACTTCTTAAATTACAGTGCAGTTGGATTTTTGTAGTGTATAATTAAATTTTGTTGACTTATCTATAAGAAAAAATTGACCGATCAATTCGAAGCTAACCCAAAAAGTAGCTCACAATCTATTTGCAGGTTCTGTTCCTTTAAATGATATGAAATTACATCGTTTCAAACAATTTTCTTCAATGAATAATCTTATTAACCATATTATATCTCATGATATATTTATATAATAAAATAAAAAGTGTACAATAATATCTCATATTCTTTATATTCAATAATTGATATTAATCATATATTTTATGATTAATTGCACTAAAGATCCTTAAAGTATCAGGTTTATCTTATTTTGGTTCCCAATATTTCAATTGTATTATTTTAGTTCTTGAAATATTGAATATATTTCTATGTGATCCCTAAAGTAGACAACGTTCAGATTACTAACAATTTTTTTATTATAATTTTGTCACGTAATATCTAAACATGGACAAAAAATAATTTGGATAATTCAACCAATTTTTTACACAAATTTTGATCAAAGAGCTATCAAAATTGTATAATTTTGATTATGAGTTATTCAAATTTTGGTTAAGAACTATTTAAATTATTTTTTTCTCCTATTTAAAAATCACGTGTCAAGTTTATGATAAAAAATGTTAATAATTTGGATATTATTTACTTGAGGGATAATATAAAAATATATTAAATACTTCAAAGATCAAAATGATATAATTGAAATATTAGGGACTAAAATGAGACAAATCCCGTAAACTTTGACTACTTTCAATGCAATTAATCCTATATTAAATTTTTAATTATAATAAAAAAACACATGTGCAAAGCACGTGAATACCCTAATTCTTAATCAAGGAGCCAAATACAACGTTACCACTAGGTCCAACGTGATTCGGCAGTTGTAGGAAAATAACCTTTGGATTGAATCGAGCTCAAACTACAGGGAGAAAAATTACGAGTCACTACAGTAACAGTAGGCGTAAATTTGTAGTTCCAGTCAGAATTCAGCTAGCCTTCTTCAAGGTCTGCTCTATAGGTCTTCACTCTCTTTCTCTCAGCTTGGTTTGGCTGTCAATGGCGGCCTCGGAGGGTGCAACAGAATCGAATCTACGTCACGCCTTCGGAAATGTTCTCTCATTCTTCATTCTGCTTCTGATCGGTGTTCTCGCATTCTCGATCCGACTCTTCTCAGTAAGCGCTTGTCATTTGAAATTTTCCATGTGTGTGTTTGTTCATACATACATATATATATAGATATATAGTATCAATTTATCGAAATTTAAAATGATCGAAGCCTGTTTGCCTTTGGTTTCGTGGATTTGAATGTTGTTTTTATCGACTTTTACAACTTGAAGACTTATGTGTGTTGAGCTGTATTTACAGGTGATTAAGTACGAGAGTGTTATTCATGAGTTCGATCCTTATTTCAATTACAGAGTCACTCAGGTTTGGACTGTTAACTTTATTATTATATGGAATGAATAAGATTGTTTTTTATCCGAAGTTGAAGTGATTGATGGACAGCAATTTTGGTTTACAGATACCATAAATTTCAACCAATCTATCCAATTTTGATTAAATCTTAAACGTTGAGCAAAATGAATTACGTAGGACTGAGACCTAAAGGGCGAAAGCACACACAAAATGTGTAGTTTCTAGCCTATGATGATGAAATTGAAGCTTCTGCCATAAACTGGAAGCTAGCATTTTTTATTCTTAGCACTTTTCTTTTGAACATGTCCATTTTTGTATCTATTTAGTATGTTTTCTAAGACATATGACTGTTATGCAATATTATGAAAGTATATTGATGGTGACAAGATTGTTAATTTGGATTTCAGTTTCTTACAAAGAATGGGATATATGACTTCTGGAATTGGTTTGATGATCGGACTTGGTAATTGCTATTACTCCACCTGTTTGGTTTTTCTCTGACAAACTTCAAATGCTGAGTATTTTACTTTTCCTAAGGTATCCTCTTGGGCGTGTGATTGGCGGAACTGTTTACCCTGGATTAACATTGACGGCTGGCACCTTGTGGTGGTGTGTATTATAGATTAATGCCACTTCTTATGATAAGTGATTTTTCCCAGTAACTGTTTATTGGTCTTTTAGATGTCCTTAATTCATTGTATTTGGGATCCGAGATTTTAAAACAGTGAAAATGTACTGTCAGTTAGTCCTATAGCAGTTGATCATTTTGAGCTGTACTTTATTATGCAGGATACTGAATTCTCTAAACATTCCTCTATCTGTGGAAACTGTTTGTGTCTTTACTGCTCCTACATTTTCCGCTATTGCTGCTTGGGCAACCTACCTTTTAACAAAGGTTTGTTTTCTGGCTAGGTTAATCTGGGTTTTGGATGGTAGTTATGATCTAGGTTGACTGATTTTTTTAACAAATGTAATTAAACTGAGATTTCTCAATCAAGTTCTGTTTGCCTTGTAATAGGAAGTTAAAGGCACTGGTGCTGGACTTACTGCAGCAGCCCTTTTGGCCATGGTAAATTTTATGTTGGGTGTCTGTAAATTCAGTTTTTATTCAGGTGATTCTGTTTCGAAATTTTGAACAGCAGCTTCTCAAGCATCCTTTTGCTTGCAACTTTATTGTACAAATGTACACCAACACACTCACTAACATATTTGATTGTTTTTGGATGATACACAGCAGTTTGAGTTCACCAAATTCGTATTCCTCTTTCTTTCTTTCTTTTTTCCATTCCTGTTTCTTTTTGCTTTTTCTTTTAGACATTTGTGTCAGTCAGCAGTGAAAAATTGGAGCATAAGGTTGACGTTTTTTTATATTAGGCTTTTAATAAGCTACATTTATTGATTGTGCCATGTGTGTTCATAGTAAACCTGTTGGCCAAGCTTGTCTGATTCAGTTTCTTTTCTTTCTTCCAATATCTATCTAATCTTTCCTTTTTATTTTCCTTTTTTTAATGTTTTGCTTGGATTGGACTAAGAGAGGTTATTATTCACATAAGTCACAGAAATGTGTCATACTTAATATTTTGTCGTTCTTTACTTTTTTCGGAAGTTCCCATGACCTTTTGTGTGAAAAGACAAACTTTATAGAAGCCGTCTCTTATCTTTAGTCCAAATCTTGCAAATTTTAATATGATGTATGTTGCTGTATTTGTTTGCCACTTAAATCTATTTGATAATCATATTCTTTGATTTCCTTTGTTATACGATCTTTTGCAGGTTCCATCCTATATATCTCGATCTGTGGCTGGCAGCTATGACAATGAAGCTGTTGCCATATTTGCTTTGATCTTCACTTTCTATCTATATATAAAGGTCAGTTTTGATAAGAGTTGTTTCCTTTGTTCCTTTCACGCTATATGTACTATTATAATAGAACTTTTGTAATATCTTTGTTGCTGGATTGTAGTTTGACCAGTTTCATTTTTCTTGCATGGATTGTTAATGGAGTTTTACTCATGGATTATGATATAATGAACTGTTTCCTAACAATGATCACTCATTATGTACAGACACTAAACACTGGATCCCTTTTGTATGCTACTTTAAATGCCATAGCATACTTTTACATGGTAAGCTTCAAGTGCTAATATTGGGAGTGTTCATCCCAGCTCTTATTAGTGTTTGTCAGTGTATTGTTTCTTAATGCTTACCTATGTGGGTATTCTACTTTTTCTTTCAGGTTTGCTCTTGGGGAGGATACACCTTTATTATCAACCTCATTCCAATGCATGTGCTTCTTTGCATTGTAACTGGTCGCTACTCTTCTCGGCTTTACATTGCATATGCTCCACTTGTAAGTATCTTGCACATTCAAGAAGCTTGAATAATATTCCAAAACTGTTTTAGCATATGAGTTTGTCATGAAAGATTGAAGAATGTTTGGGATTACTTCGTTAGAATAGGGAACATATGAGAATATAGGTGCTATATGTGAACAAAACTCAAATTCACAAAGCCTTCCTCGCCAAGAACAGCCAATATATCCTTATTCATGGAAGCCTTGTTCACAAAACTCAAACGGTAGTTTGTCGTGTGTGTTAAGTAAGCCTTGTTCATGGAATATGTTACTAGTTTGAGAGTTTTTCTATCCTTCCTAGACTTGGAAATCAGTGTTCTAATTCTACTATTTTCTATAGTGATTTTTTTTTATTACATTCCAAAAATTTATCTAATACAAATCTTTCTGTTCTATACCTTTTTAGAAAGATTTTCTTCAAACATAGATTCTGGATAATAGCGTTGCTTTTGCAATGCAGGTTGTCTTGGGAACATTGTTAGCCTCATTGGTGCCAGTTGTTGGTTTTAATGCAGTCATGACATCAGAACATTTTGCATCATTTCTGGTGAGTTCCATTTGAATATATTTCCCTTCTCTTTTCTTTTTTGTCATTGTTCATCTCTATTTTATTTATTTGATGATGAAGTTCTCATGGTTTTTTAGAGTTTCATTTTATATGGGAGATAGTCTCAAAATACCGTACCTGTCATCTAGATTCCTATCATCCAAGGATCAAAATATCGTTTCGAAACGGTCAAAACATCTGAAACGTTTCCGTTTGCAAGGAGACCGAAACGAATCAGTGATAAAATCGAAATTCTAATACTTTGAGGTGTTCCATAATGTTTCGAAATATTTTGTTATATTTCAATATATTTGCACAATTATTTCAGAATATTTCAAGGTATTTCAAGATTTTTTGATATATTTTGACCAATGTTTTAAAAAAATAATTCTTAAATTTTTATTATTTTTTATTCTGTTTTTGAAACGGATCGAAATGTTTCCGAAATATGTCGAAACGTTTCCATTTTCTAGGTGACCAAAACAATGTACCGAAACGAAATTTTGATCCTTACTATCATCACACCTCGACTCAGACAAATCAACTCCACTTTTCCAGGAAGGGATGGACCTTACCTGTTGTCCATATACCCGAATAAGCCAATGTTCAATTTTAAATACACATTGTCATGTCAGTGATAAAAACCTTAACACTTAAAAGGCTTTCATCTACTTATGATCAAGATGGTTCAGTGAAGGTGGATAGTAATATCAATGAAGCAGATATTTTCTAAAGCATGAAAATGTCGGCCTGTATATGGAGAGGGGCACATGAACAAATTATGGGTGAAGTACTTTTAATTTGGCATACAATATAAATGGCTTCAATGTTCAAATAAAATAAAAGATGTCTTGCATTCATTGATATATTGAGAAGCAGCTTTTGAGTTTTCCTTTCATTATTTCCCTTTGAAGTGTTGTTTAGTTGTTTCAGTTGACTGCTTGCTTAACAACCGTGTTTGATAATAAACATACGCACCTTAATTCTATAAGCTTAACTCTATGTCTTAAATTGGTTCTTTTCTTTTTAGAAATGAGCTGAGGTTCAAAAGAGTTGGAAATGCACAAGGGTTGTTTTGATTTTAGTAGAGTGGATTACATATAAATTGGAAATGCACAAGGGTTGTTAAAATATCCTAACCTGCCCTCCCCTCCCCCTGAGGCCATGATACCTACAGCAAAAATGATGTATTATTGTTCTCCATCTTGTCATTTTGGCTCGATGGGAGTGCTGGAAAGTTGATTTGAAGGATTGTACACTAAGGTACTATATTATGATTTGATTATTCTAATTTTGTGACTATATGCCTGCATTGAAGGTTTGAGCTTTCTCCTTTACCTGATTTATAGGATGATTAGTGATTATAGTGCCCTAATCTGTAGAATCAACCACAAAAGGGCCCTTTTTATGGGAATGGACAAAAGTGCAGTTTATTGAAAAAAAAAAGAGACTTATAGTCGGATATTGGATTGCTAAGATGAAAACTGTTTATGTTGTGTTGGTTACTTTGCTGTATCACTTGTTACCTCCATTTTGGTCATTTCGAGTAGCTGACCTTATATTCTTGCTTAAAACTCCAATGTGCAGGTTTTCATTGTCATTCATGTGGTGGCTCTTGCATATTATATCAAAGGAATTCTCTCTCCAAAAATGTTTAAAGTAGCCGTTACACTTGTTCTAGCTGTTGGCCTGTAAGCTTCCCTTGTCTGGAGTTTTCATATAATTCTGATGGTGGCTAGGGGAAAAAAAATCTAATGCTTACTATACTTGACCACTAGATTTTAAAAATCCATTTTACATCTAGCATTATTTTGAAGACTAATATATTACCGGACCCTAATCATTAGTTCACATGGATCACCAGCTTTGGAACCTTCTGTGACTTAAATTTTTATGATTCTATTTTTCAGGGTAGTATGTTCTGCTGTAATAGCAGTACTTATAGCAATGGTAGCTTCTAGCCCAACAAAGGGATGGAGTGGAAGAAGTTTGAGCCTGCTTGATCCGTAAGTCTTATCGCAGAATTCATGTCATTATCTTGTAAGATCATGCATTGGTAGTATTCTCTAAGAGGTGCTATGTGAACTCAACTCAAAATTTGGAATGGAACTTCATATACTGCTAACTGTTACCTGAAATCTGATAGGCTGCATCTGTCTTGAGTTCTGATTTTTGGATTCATACAAGGCAGTTTTGTGCTCAGTTGGAGTCTGGTTGAACTAAACCCATTTGAGAATCAATCCTCGAAATATATCTAGTGAAATACTGGTGGTGGCACGTTAACTTATTTATCTTTCCTGTATTGCCATTTCATTGTTAGCCTTTGTTGGGTGGACGGATGGCTCCCTTCATACTCAAGTCAACTCAGTAAAAAACTTTGTCTTAACTAATGGGGGTTAGATGCATGCGTCATGTTCTGCAACTGTTGTCATTTTATATAGTTTTTGTAGAATTGTAAGAAAACATTTTATGCTTCTGTTTCTACTTGTCCCAAGGTAGCTTTTTAACGTATTCCACATTGTCTCTCTCATTGGAACAGAACTTATGCAAGCAAGTACATACCCATTATTGCCAGTGTTAGTGAACATCAACCACCTACTTGGCCGTCTTACTTCATGGACATTAATGTCTTGGCTTTCTTGGTTCCAGCTGGCATTATTGTAAGTTCTTAATGGTGAACTGTGCTGTGCTTGTGGATATTTGTGTATTTTCTTTCTCTCTTATTTTTGTCTAACTGCTTTTGCACAATGTGTCTTTATGTGATGGTACTTGGCAGGCATGCTTTTTGCCGCTGTCTGATGCAAGCTCTTTTATGGTTCTTTACATAGTAACATCAGTATATTTTTCTGGTGTCATGGTAAGGGCAATATTAGGGCATCCAACTTCATTTTATTGTTGTTTTCCTTCTGCTCCCATTGTGCTTGGTCATCATGGTTGTGGCTGATTTGACAGGTGCGCCTAATGCTTGTGCTTGCTCCAGCGGCATGCATAATGTCTGGTATTGCTCTTTCTGAAGCTTTTGATGTTTTTACACGATCAATCAAATGTCAGTTACCTGGTGTATCACAAAATTCCCAGATTGACGTGAGTGCAGTTTCTTTATTTTACAATGGTACATTGTTATAACCAATCGTTCTCAATTACTCTGCTTCTGGACTAAGATCCTTTTGAATGATTGACCCTTAAGGTAGGGGATTCTACTTCTGGCAGTGTTGTTACACAAGATGAGGTGGTGAAGACTGATAAAACTGAAGACTCCTTAAAGGAACGACCTTCCAAAAAGAACAAGAAGAAGGAAAGGGAAAGAGAAAGGGAAAATGTGGAAAAGGCTTCTATTAAGACCCCAATTCAGAAGAGGCTTCTGGTTTTACCTCTGGAGTCATCTGTCATTGCTCTTCTCTTACTTGTGTTGCTGGGCGCCTTTTATGTGGTATGTATAGGGGTGTCAATTGTGTAGTTTGTGTCACTTTCGGCCGTGTAATTTTGGTGGTCATTTTCGGTTTATGTCATATTTGTGTCAATAAAAAATTATTTAATTATGCAACATCTCATATGATACTATGTAAAAAATTAAAAAATACTCTCTTTTTTGCCTACATTACCCATTAATCATGTTATTCATATCTAACCTTATTTTGACTAATTTATCATTTGTGTTTATTGGTCATGTCTTGGGTTTTGTGTCCGATCGGGTTCATGTCAAAGGGTAAAATTGACACCCCTAGTTATGTATGCTTCGTAACGGATCATAATTGTGCATTCTCTTCATAGCAAGTAGGTTTTTTTGTTTGATTGACCTGCACATTGATGGTACTCTCACCCACTTGACTGTTATCACTGTGAAAAGGGTTACATTTTTTTGCTCTGTCGTTGATGTCATTAGTAGAATCAATATGAGGTCATTTAGCTACACGATGATAATTTCATGTAGACTTATTTATGCTTCTACAGAAGAGAAAATGTTTGTAAGTATTAAGGTCATGCAAGAGTGGTGGGAATCCCACTTAGGATGGGAGTGCGAAATGGAAGGACTAATATATGGGATGGGTCTAGGACTGACAAGATCTTGAAAAATTCTGGACTAGAGGCTTTGATCGAAGACAGAGGTGTTCATTGTTGTTTATCAACTTCCAAACACTCAGTGGCTTGTTTTCTTATTTTTACTCTGCGTTCTTTAACAAATGTTCTGAATATAAAAATACCTTTTATTGGAGTAAGTTTTTAGAAACTTCAAAATGTCTGTGTTTCTCCCATTTACGTGTATTAATAAAACCTTCTAATTTCCAGTATTTGTAAAGAGATGTTCAAAATTAAATATTTTTCACCATACTTATGTTATTAAGTTTCTATTAAAACATATGCGATTGCATATGAACTATGAAACCTGTGAAAATATGATACAAGATGCAAATTTCTATGGATGCCTCCAATAAGCCTACATGCAAATATGTAAAAATTGGATACTTTTTCGGTGAGTCCTGAAATTTGGAGGTCAGGGGAGATCACACCCATACCCATGTTGATGTAACATAGTGAAAGGAACCATTCTGAATGGTAAATCATGTTGTATATCATGCCATTGAGATAATATTCACTAGTTTTTCTTTTAATATTGGAAGAAAGTATACCGACTAGGCTAACTTAGTAACATCTTTATAGAACATTCCGTGGATAAGGGTCGTTAAGTTTATTTGTTTCCCAAGGTCATATAGAGAAAAGCTAGAATAATAAACCAATTGAATTATACAAATGGTTTATTTGAAAACTGCTGGAAGTTCCAGCAGGGATGTTTGTGTTAAACTCCGACACTGTTTTGGACATTCTGTAACACATCTGGTGCATTCACCAAATTGTCTGTGATAACCTTGGATGTTGGATCATGGGGCAAATTATAATTGAAAATTGTTTATCAGGTCACGGTTGATACCTTCCTGTCTTTGGGTTTTTTATGTCAACCTGCTTGGCATGTTTTCAGCAGGAACATGAATGTGCCTCATGAAACGAATTACCTGGAACATGTGCTTTTTAAGTATATATTGATTGATTTTTTGTATTTTATCAGCATGAATATAACTTTTGCAATCCGTGGGTATCACAGAACTCACCTGACACTATGCGACCAGTAAATTGGTTACAGAGGTCTTATTTGCCACCTGTGTAATAAATGAATTGTTTCTGGGTCAAAGATTTTGACAGGAATATTTAATTATGCTGTTTTGGGTTGCCCCTTTGACATGATCAACTTTGCCGCTTCATGAACCCAACATAATATGACCCAATTGCCACCATTACAAGATCCTCTAACACCATTCCAAAGAAAGCATAAAATACTGAAACCATGAATGAGTGTAACTTAGCTCTCATAATTTGAAATTTACACACACTTTCGTAGAGTTTTACTATTTAAAATCCAAATTCTTGGGCTTGTATGGTTTTAATTTTTTACTTGGGGGATACTTGAGCATTGTTCTTGTCTCTCCTTTCTTGTTCAATGGCATTCATTTTTCAGTGGTGTTCATATAATTGTTTACCTTCTTCTAGGTTCATTGTGTCTGGGCAGCAGCAGAAGCATATTCAGCCCCTTCTATTGTGCTAACATCTCGTTCACATGATGGTCTTCATGTTTTTGATGATTTTAGAGAGGCCTATGCATGGTTGAGCCACAATACTGAGGTGGATGATAAAGTGAGTTTTTTTTTTTTTATCAAAGGATGATAAAGTGAGTTATACTTCCTGTTTTATGCAGTTTACTCCACCGACATTTCTACTGTTCTAGATTCTTATGGATAACCACTACTTATTCTGCTTTGGCCAGTCTGATGCATCAATGTTTGCACTAATTTCTTACAGTTATATTGCGCTGAAGTGCTCTTATATCAGTTTTGTGTTGAGTATTTAGTTTATTGCAAGAACTAGTACAATACTACTATAGTGTTATCTGTTTGATTTCACAATTCTCCGGTTGGAATTTTATATCATGTCTAAAACTTGGACGGTTCTTCTCCATGTCGTCTTGTTATGCCACTATGAAAGTAAGAGTACATTAATTAGCTAGGATGGTAGCAGACTGGTAAAGTTAAATGGAAGATTCTAGAAGTGATGATAACTGTGGATTTAATCTTGCGTTCTTGTCATTTTTTATTAAGTCATACTTGCTTTCTAAATGTCAGTTGAAAGGACTAGAATTAAGAGAAAATTGGGGATGGCTTCATATCAGTGCAGGTTGCTGTAGTGGATTTATCTCACTATAATAGCAAAGTGGAGTGATAAAATATTGAGCACAGTCTAATATCATCACGAAGCCAGCTATATAATTCAAGGGTATGTTGCCCAGGGTATTGCCAATGTAGTACAAAAGTTTGAGCCCAATCTATTTACTTGTATTGAAATGGTTTAGTATCTGTTTTTTTAATGTTTGGCATGACTGCTAGCCAATTGCATCTCTGTTGAGCTTCTTAGCATGGAGTTCTTAACACAATGAAGCTATTAGGCGATATCAATTATTTTCGGTAAAATTCTTTCAGGTTGCGTCCTGGTGGGACTATGGTTACCAAACAACTGCTATGGCTAACCGTACCGTTATTGTGGACAATAATACCTGGAACAACACACATATTGCAACTGTTGGTACTGCCATGTCGTCTCCTGAAAAGGCAGCTTGGGAAATTTTTCAGTCTTTGGATGTAAAATATGTTCTTGTTGTCTTTGGAGGTTGGTTTCTTACTTCAGGATAGACTCCAAAAAAATTTGGGGAGGAAATAAAACACTTTTCTAAAAGGTGACTTTACATTTCAGGTGTTGTTGGCTATCCTAGTGATGATATTAATAAGTTCCTATGGATGGTTCGCATAGGAGGGGGTGTATTCCCTCACATAAAGGAGCCTGATTATCTGGTAAGTAGTTAGTTCTAGCAATTGTTATTGCAAATAGAAATTTACCACGATTATCCTCCAATTGACAATACTACTTTAGCAGATATTGAGCTTTGACCCCATCATGTATTTTACAATTTAGTAATTAAAAGTTGAATGCAAACGCTCAAATACTATGCATAATACTCTCATGTCCTGCCTACTTGGTTATATGTGAATATGTGATTTCGTACTCTATGGCAAGAAGTGTTAAATAACTTGCAAGCAGGAAAAAAATTATGAATAAAATGAATAATTAGTTATGCAAGAGCATCCTAGGTGTGGAGCATTAGTCCCCGCACTAACTTTGGTCTGCTCCAATTCACTTGAACATAGGCAATGGGATAAGGAAACTGAATTCGCCTCTCCCACAAGTTGCGGTTTTTGGGCCAAGTGGTTTGGTCTTCCTGGGTCAGTAGTTTTGAAAAAGTGAGTTCTAACAAGTATCAATCTTTAAAAAGCATTAATTTTTTTTAGAAAAGAAGCCTTTTTCCATCCTTAGGTAAGTATAACTTGTTTTGCCTGAGTGGTAGTGTTTACTTTGGGTTTTCTTATGATAATCATAAAACAATTTCAGGATATTGATCAATAATTAAATATCATTAAGTTATAATGGTAATGTCTAAATGTCAATGATGCAATCATATGTTGGATAATGCGAGTAGAAATGTCATCATATTGACATGGTATGCTTCAAGCATATTACACTATCTTTATTTAAAACATTTTTCAGCATGAACAGGTCCATGGTATGCATTTCCAAACTTAGTTTTGCTTAGCCTGATTAATACAAGGGTGGTGGGTGACAAATAATCTACCCAAAAATCACACAACAGATAATAAATTTACCTATATTTTTTCTTATATCAATCGAAAACAGAGGTATGCAATAAACCTCAAAACATGCTGCAAGGGCACACGGAGGAGTTTTCAAAAGAAATATTAACTAATTTTTACCTTGTCTTTTGTCTAAAAGAGAGATGGTCAGTACCGGATTGATTCTCAGGCGACTCCGACCATGCTAAACTGCCTCATGTACAAACTATCCTATTACAGGTGTGCATTGCTTCAACATCATTATTTATATGGTGATTGTGCAGGTTGCGACTCTTGCTAGTTTACATCCTTGATTTTATCTGTTTTATCTAGATTTGTGGAGACAGATGGTAAAGGCTTTGATAGAGTCAGGGGAACTGAAATTGGAAAGAAACATTTTAAATTGACCCATTTTGAGGAGGTATGATGTTCTCAATGGCTGAATTTTGCTTTTTGAAATGTTTAACTCTTTGGCGATGTATAATGCTTTGAGTATATTGTGGAGGAGATTGCTTTGAGTTAACCATATCAAAGATTTATTCTTCTATGACTATGTGACAATCCACACAAGTAAATGTATGGATTGCAGCATTCTCAACTTTCGTTCTGTCCCCTATTTGATTTTGGGTTGCAGTTTCTTCATAGTGTTATCTGTAATTAAGCAAATGCCTATACTCATTTCCTCCTGAAAATAATTATTTGTGGAATATTGCATGAACTTTACTGAACCTATCTAGAATTCATTCGTTTTTATTGTTGTAATTTCATTTGATGTGGAGGACTCATGCCTACTATGATTGCCCTTCTTGTGGCTCCAAATAATTATAGGTGTTTACGACTCACCATTGGATGGTCCGAATATTTAAACTAAAGCCTCCAAAGAACAGGATCCGGGGAAAGACAAAGAAATCTAAATCGGTACCCATGATAATAATTCCTCCATTGTGTGTGTGTGTGAGAGAGAGAGCGCTCACTAACATTGACTTCAACTGTTTTCACTATTTCTATTTGTCAGAAAGCTAGCTCGACGACCAGCTCAAAACGAAGTGGCAAGAGCCCTTGGCAGTAAAAAGCATTTTATGGGATTTCTTGGCAGGTCAGTTACTTGTGATACACATATACTTCAGTTCCAGTGCATTAATCTCTTGGGAGGGATCACGTTGGATAAGAAAAATTGTTAGTGAAAGATTTTGGGGCCTCTTCTGACCATGTAATTTCTTTCTGAGTTTTAACATTTCACATTTTTTATGGCAGAGAAAAATTTGAGTAATTTTGGACCAGTTCTTCTGGCTGGTACTTACTGTATAATATTCCTATTGCCCATCACAAGTAGCTTTTTTGAAGATTTGATATGTTAATTTAGGTATGTATGATTTGCAAATACCTGCTATTGTTGTTGTTGCTTTTGGATCACGATACCTGGCTATATTTGATGTATTGAATAGATTTCTTCGCGTTTTTCCTATTCGGGTGTTCAATGAGGAAGTTTGTGAGTAAAACATTCTCCTTTGATTCAAAATGTCCCGGTTGAAGTCCGGATTATAGAATACTGATCGAGTAGGTATCAATTTTTAGCGCTATTCCTAGATTCATGAATGCTTTCAGTGCAATTGACACTTGATCAAGAATGCTGCAATGGCTTTGGTTATTTCTTTTGTTTCTCCTGAACAGGTTCTTTTTTTTTTCTTTTGGGTTTGTAGGTTTTTTTTTTTTTGGTTGGTTTGGAGGGGGGGGGGGGGGGGGGGGGGTTATGTGTGATGTCTCGTCTTTGTGATGCTTGAACTCACGATGTATATTTGCCGGCAGAGGCTTGGAGCTTGATGCTATATATTTTGGGGGTTGCATCTTACTTGGGGGTGTGTAAGAATCCAAAAATCTGACCGACTCCATCGGATTGGAGTTTAACGGAAACAGAGTCGGAGGCGGATGGCAAACTCAAACTCCAATCAGTTATCGGAGTCTGATATACTTTCTGAAAAAATTTCGACTTTGATTTTGACTTGTATTAATGGATACTTTAATGTAAATTATATAATATATTATTATATGAAAATTTGTAATAAGACATCCTAAAACTGAGTGTTTGTTTCTCTATTTGATGGGCATACTCGTGTTGTTTTAGAAACTTGCCCAATTCCCCCAAAAAGAACTGGTCTAAATTCCACCCACAAATGTCCTAAATTCCAGCAAAAATTGGCCCAACTCTGAAATTCTGCTCCACCTCCGACAAGGTGGAGTTATAGTAGTTTGGCGTTGGAGGACAAAATTTCCTTCCACTTCAGTCAAAGTCGGAGATTGGATCTGTGCCCTCCCGCTTCATCGGCGTTGTGGCCCAGGCCTAGTGACACGTGAATCAGACGGCAGAGGCTTGAAGCTTGCACCATTGTATGAAGGTGATTGAAAATTACCACTCCAAACTATCAGTTAAATGATGTAAAATTTCTTACTGCTCATTAGTCAGGAGTAAGCCATGGGTCGACCTAGATTGGCATGAGGTTTTAAAGTTGTATGAAGCTCACTTTTAATTCAGTTTATGGGCTCACCAATATTAGAAAAAACATAAAACTAGTAAAATTTGAAAAATAAAATAGAAAGGAGAGGTTCATTATGAACTGTCAGATTAGTTAGTTTTTGAAGACCGACTTGGTGTATCTAGGCTCGACAATTGTACGCACCACAAATGGACCCGACATGAAGTTGATATAGAATTTGCAAGTTTAGGTTTAAATTTAGTGAATTTTAGATGGTAGACGAATGAATCCGCTAAATCCGTTAAATAAATGAATAAATATAAACTTAGATAAGCATTATACGAATCAACTTTGTTGGTGCTCAAGATTCAAGAATATGAGTGAGAGAGATTTTTAAGGTAGCGATAATGTAAATGTGAATGTTATTTGGGTGTGTATTGAGAACTAAATGAATTGATAGTAGAAATTGGATAACATGAGAAAAATAAAATCGTTCATCGATCGAAGAGTTTGGTTAATTCACTCTAATGAAATTTCTTGTTCTGGAGGTTTCTATTGCCTTTTTGAGGAAGAAGACGATTACAATTTCATCTATCTCTTTCAGGCTACGGTTTTTCTATTCATATCGTCTTGATTGGGAAAAAATATTCATTATAATGGTGATACCATATGACAATGTAATGTGGTATCATCAATCAATAATATTAAAACAAATAAGCAAATAAACTTCACAAAAATTAATAACCAACTTGTCATATAAACAAATAATTTCTCACTCTACCTCCATGTAAGTTTAAGTGATTCACCTTACTCACTTAGGGTTTTACTATTGGTTAGTAATATCGTGTCATCAATGGTGACATGATATTATTGTTGGATTCAATATTTACTCATTGGTAAGGCGTCTTCAAATCATCATGAGTGGTCCCTTAATTTGTTAGGATATTTGAGAGAAATATTAAATTATTAGAGACTACATTTTTTAGAAATGATAGAATAGTGGCGTAATACTAATAATTTTGATGTGATCGGAAGATGGACTATGCTCTTTGTCTCTCTTTCTCTGATGGTCCAACTCATTTGAATTTGTTGACTTTATCTCGACTTATGACCAAGTTAAGCAGACTTGTCTTCTGTCTGTTGTCAAGCAAAATCATCTTTGAGGATGACTTTATTGTTGGTATTATCAAACTTAATATTATTTATGACCAGAAGAAAAAAAAACTCAATATTATTTATACACAACATCATATCTAATTAGACACAAAACTCCATTATACATAATTATTCACGGGTCAGGAATAGGAATGACTAGAATAATTTTTTCATAGGAAACTAAAATTAAATATAAATGCGACATATCATTAACCGTTATTAAACCCAACTTGATCCGTTTGTCGGATGGTTCTGCCGTGCCCATTGATTGCTCAACAATTTAGGCAGACCTGGCACGTGCTTTGACCGATCTTGCACGTGCGGTTGAGCTCGGAAAGTAGGATAAATTGTATCGGAGACTCCACTAGACCCCGCAAATCTCCGGCCTGGCCCCACCCTCTCCCCACCATATTCCGCACCACCCGGCAACATCCACCGCCCCACATTTACACGTACTCATAGTCGTACATGCTCAAGTATAGATTTGACCATAATAGTTAGCTATAGACGTCAATGACCAAAAAAAAAAAAAGAAAGCTATAGACGTCTGCATAGTGATATTGTTTATTTTTAAAAAAAAATTAATTTAATAATAATAAATAATATGTATCATAGATTTTGATTTGATTTATTTATTATCATTAATTATAAAAATAAATAAAATTAAAAAATTAAATAATAAAATTTTACATGTGCCATGTTATGATTGCCCAAAAAAAAAAAGGATATATATATATATATTGATATTAAATTGATTCAAATTTGTATATATTTATATCTAATTTA